AACCACCGAGTATCCAGGCCCTCAGGCCCTTGTCCTTTGCTGCTGTGCTGTTCCTGGGGGGTGGCTTTTGGCATTGTGGTCTCCGATGGCATCTGTATCCTAGCCACTGGGAAGGGGCAGGGAAGGGAGAGGGTGTGCTCCCTTTTTAAAGGGCACGACCCAGACCCAGAAGTTGTAGATGTTAGTGTACACGTCACATGGCCACACCCAGCTGCAAGGAAGCCTGGGAATTGTAGTCTTTTTTGTTGTTTTTTAGAGGGAGGGTCGCACTCTATCACCCAGGCTGGAGTGCAGTGGTACAATCATAGCTCACTATAGCCTTGAATTCTTGGGCTTGTCATCCTCCCGTCTCAGCCTCCCAAGTAGCTAGGGCTCTAACCTGGCTAATTAAAAAAAAATTTTTTGGAGTGATCGGGTGGGAGGGTGGTCTATTTGCCCAGGCTGGTCTTGACCTCTTGGCCTCAAGCAGTCCTCCCACATTGACCTCCCAAAACAAAACACTGGGATTAATGACATAAGTCACTGTGCCTGGCCTTTTTTTTTTTCTTTTGAGAAACAGGGACTTGCTCTGTTGCCTAGGTTGGAGTGCAGTGGCATGATCATAGCTCACTGCAGCCTCAAACTCCTGGACTCAAGTGATCCTCTTGCCTCAGCCTCCCAAGTAGCTAGGACTATACGAGTGAATCACCACATCTGGCTAATTTTTTTTTTTTTTTTTTTTAGAGATGGGGTCTTGCTATGTTGCCCATGCTTGTCTTGAACTCCTAGTCTCAAGCAGTCCTTTTCCCTTGGCCTTCCAGAGTGCTGGGATTCCAGGCATGAGCCACAGTGCCTGGCCAGGGTCTGTAGTCCTTAGCTGGGTGTTCACGTGTCTGCCTAAACATTCCACAGAAGGGAGATATGGGCAAAGGGAAAACTAGCAGTTTCCACCAGTTAGTTTGTACGTTTCAGTGTAAACTACGTGGCAGCTAATTGCTAAACTCTAAGGCTACAGAACCCGAAAGCTTAAAGTACCGATGAAGATCCACTGGCACCCACACAGCTTTTCTGTTATAAATAGGAACATTGTGCTCAGAGAGGGAAAGTCACCTAGCTACGATTGCACAGTAAAGTGCCAGAGCTGGAACTAGAACTCCAGACTTTGGGCTCACTTTCTAGAATGTCAAGGAGATCTGACTGGGAGGTAGATGTCAGTGCCAGGAGCACAGGTCTCTTGAGGCTGGGGAAGGGGCCACCTGTCCCAGCCTGTCTACCTGGGGAGCTGCTCAGGATGCCTCAGGACTCAGCTTTGGGGTCATGCTGTCTCTGAGGTGCTGCCAGGTCACCCTCACTGTGTCTTAAATGTCCTGTGGACTGCAGCGCCTCACACGCATGTGCACCTTCTCTGTTGCAGTCTGCTCGAGGCCGGGCACGACAGCTCACGCCTGTAACCCCAACACTCTGCGAGCCAAGGCAGGAGGATCACTTGAGCCCAGGAGTTTGGGACCCACCTGGGCAACATAGCGACCCCCATCTCTACAAAAAATCAAAAAGATTAGCCAAGTGTGGTGGTGGCCCACACCTGTAGTCCCAGCTGCTCAGGAGGCTGAGGTGAGCCATGATCATGCCATTGCATTCCAGCCTGGGCAACAGAGTGGGACTCCAACTCAATCACCATCATCATCATCTCCTTGAGGGCAGGCACAGAGCTTAGTCATCTTTCTTTCCCCCAGTGCCTCCCTGCCAGGCACTCACTGAATAGTCAAATGAATGACTGAAGACACAATGAATGTATATTCAAGGACTCCTTCAGCTGCAAATAATAGAAACTGAGCTCAAACTAGTTTAAGGGGGAAAAAAAGATTGGCTCAAGTATCTGGGCAGTCTAGGTAGCTTTATAGCTTGCTTCAGGCATAGCTGAATCCAGGGACTTGACTGATATTTCAGAGCTCTGTGTCTCTCCCACCCCTCTTGTCCTCTCTGTGGGGTGTTGCCCCAGGAACCTCTGTAGGGGTTCAGAGGAGGTGGGGGTTGGGGGTGAGAGGATGTAGGGAGGTGCTGGTGGTCAAGGCAGGGACCAGGCAACCCTCTTGGCTACCCCCAGACCCAGGGTATCTTGGCCCACAGCCCAGGCCCAGTTTTGTTGTTTTGGCTTCATGGGGGACACATCTCGGGCCTTCTCTTGGGAGCTTTCTGGTGGCCTCTGCTGCTGGGATTGGATGCCCATGCTGAACCTCAGACCAAGGGCGGCCAGGCTCCTTGATACTTCTCAGGGGAAGCCCAGGGTGCCCTGTGGTCTTTCTGGGCAGGGCTTCTTGGAGTTGTCATATTGGGCTGGGACTGGGGTGGAGGAGGAGGAGGGGGAGGAAGAGGAGAAGGAGGGGGAAGAGGACAGGGAGGGAAGGAGGAGGAGGGGAAGGGGAGGAGA